ACACACACACACACACACACACACACACACACACACACACACACACACAGTCTCCCAACTCATCAGACTCCGTCATCATGTGATATTCTTATACATTTTATGATCTTGGTGCACCCTGGGAAGCCAACACTACCACAGTGCCCAAATCACAGAGGTGCTCCAAGGAGGTAGACTGAGTGAGATGCTTGGAGCTCCGGAATGGCGGAGAGAGGTGAGGACTTGCCAAAACCCTCCAAGTCCTCACAGGGGCAAAGTCAAGGCCAGAGGGGCGGCAGCAAGGAGACACACTATAAAAGCTGTTGAACAACTGGCTCCTTGGCGGCGATGGCGAGTAAATAGGGAGTTCCACAGCTCTGGATAAGGAGAGGTGAGTCTGAAAATTGAACCTCAAGTGGGTAGCTGAATTAGAACAGCCTGTGAGAGAGCAAGGAGGAATGAAGGAGCCTGAATGATAAAACAGACATGGAGCTTTAGAGGGAAGGCAGAGGCTAAGGACCATTCTATGCACGTGCAAACATTTGAGCAGAAAACGGAGAGCTCCTGTGAGGGCTGTATCTATGTGCACAGCCATAGCCCCAGCCATAGCCCTGGCCTCTGTGCCTACCTATCCTGTTCTATGGTCAGAACCTGCAGGCCTCTGGCCTAGGAAGCAGCAAGCCTAGCTGAGCAGTATCTGTTTATGTGATTGGGAGCTTGGCCCTAGACAAAGGATTGAACTCTCAGCCCCCTCCATTCCTTTTGCACCAAGCGCTCAGGCTTGGGGGGGGGGTGTCTTAAGAGAACTCCCAATCTCTGGGATGAGGAGGATGGGAAGTGGCTCTCTTCTCTCTGCAGACCCACCTTTGAGCACTCACTGGCCCAGCCGGACCTGTATCTAGGTGTCTGACCTGCGCCTGTTCTGCATCCTACACTGGTCCAAGTAGATCTGGTCCCCATGGAAGCTAAAAGAATGAGGAAGGACGGAATTTCTATCTACTCATCTCCCTTCCCAACCACTTCCTGTCCTTTCCAGGCCCAGCTGAAAGCCGCAGGAAGCCCAGCCTTAGCCCTTTGCCTGGTCTTGATTCCCCCTTGTCTTGCAGTCTCTGTAAACAATGAAGCTGGTGTGGGTTCAGAGCTGATTCTGTGTTGTAGTCCCTCAGCAACCCCTGGCAGCTGCTGATAGATCACCATCACTCCCAGCCACCCCAGAAACACACACACACACCACATACCAGGCACATGCATGTATGCACACACA